TTGGTATTTAGGTTTCATACACTTATTTGGTATTGCATTTTGGGTGTTTAATTTATGAGTTTGTTTTATTTTGATCATATACATCTCAATTATTTTTATTCTCTTGATTCACATAATATAGAATTTTGTTTTATAATTTTAAACCTCTCAGGGGCCATGCGCAAGACGCGGACAAGACACCTAGTTGAAAGGTAATTAATAGTTAGTTCGATATATTATATACTGATTGTTGAAAGGAAAATATTATGAGATTGATATTAATTCTTACCAACTAAGATTTTTGAGTTAAGCTTTTGTGGCGTTAAAAAAGATTAGAAATTGACCAATGACAAATAGTTATTTTGAGGTCTAGGAGTACATCTGGTTACAGCAGTCATTGCTAAAAACCCCATTTTATAAGCATGATTGGTTGGTCTGTATTTTCCAGTCGCATGACTGAGAGCAAAGTTTTAAATTAATACACATTGTCCACGTATGTCTTTCTCCATACGGATAACATCTTTTTTTTCTGAAGCGTGAATCTTAGATCCCTTTAAACCAAAGCAAAAAAAAAAGAATGTTAATATATGTAGATTTAAGTAATAGTTATAATAATGGTATAGAGATTTACCTTTTTATCAGCAAAAATGACTTCAAGTGACTTTCTGTTCAGCTTACTGTAGAGTTTCCATGTATGCAGGACCTTAAACTTCGACTCGCCAACTGATTTTGTAAGGCTTCACTTGGTTGAGGTAGGAGATTGGTAAAGAAGCAGCCATTTGGAGGTTCTGCAGTTCAATTTAGATATATTGGAATTAGAAGTCTTGCAAATGCTTTAGAAGATCGGCCTTTTATAGTCGTTTGTAATTTAGGGTTTAGATATGTCGGCTTTTAGAAATTAATATAACTTGGTAGCAAAGGTTAAATGATATGAACTACATTTTTTGTAAGATATACAATTCCAATAATATTGTGTCATTTAGATACGTTGACAACTAGAAAATTAATTTAACTTGGTAGCCTTGATTAAATTATAGGTACTACATTTTTGGTAAGATACGATTCCAATAATATTGTGTCATTAAATTACATAGAATCATAGAGAGATTTTGGTATAATTTCTGTAATACACATTTTTTACTATATATTTAATTTACATATTTGATAATTTAATCGGTGGATATAGAAATTAAATGTTTTATTATAATTGTATAATGTAGTTATTTTCTGAAGATTTATTTATTAAAATTTAAGAACCGAGTTGTTCTAGTTACGGGTCAAATGATCCACGTAATGATGCACATGTGATACATTTGTAATGGTCATTTATACCTTTATACATTTTTTTGTTTAGTCTTTTTGGTAATGGCATTTGATGTAAATAATTTACAACATAAAGGTTAGTTTTTAAATGTGGCTACTTAAATAATATAATAGAGATAACAAAATACTACTTAAATAATATAATAGAGATAACAAAATACTATCTCTATATTATTATTTGAGTAGACATTTTCATAAATGAACCTTTATTTATAAGATATTATAGAATATTTTACGAAAATAAATATTTATTTGTAAGATATTACATAAATAAACATTTATTTGTAAGATATTACATAAATAAACTTTTACTTATAAGATATTACATAAATAAACTTTACAAATATAAAAAGTTCAGTTGAATATTCATCCATAAGAGATAGTTAAATATAAAGTTCACAGATTTGTTTTGAATATATATGGATATAAATCAAAAATGTATTTAGCTTTTTAACTTATTAAAATATATTTTATTATTTTAAATAATAATCAATATATATATATGAAAAAAATATATTTAAATATTTGCAATATTCATTTGTATTTTCATAACTAATTAGTATCATTTCGAAAATCAATTCAATTATTTTTAATTAAATTTTTATTTTATGGATATATATATATATATATTATTATTTTTTTATTCTAATCTATGTTGGTATATATATAAGTATATATATATTAACATTATATCACTTTCACATTTAAAAACTATTAATAATTAATTTACATGACAAAACTAACTCAAAATCTTATTCGATGGATATATATACAAATAAATATTGGTTGTGTAATATTTATATATGTATTGTTATTTTATTGCTATCGATTTATTAATTTATATTTTTTTATGGAAGGATTTTTGCTACTAATTTTAATTTAATCAAAAACTAAATTTAAAGATAATTTTAAAAATATTACCCTGCACATTGTCTTCGATTAATTGATTTTATGTTAGGCACAACTGCTGGGCTTAAAGCTAATGAGGTGGGCTCTCATTGTTTTAGGCCTATATTGCCATAACCGATTGGAAAATTAAAACAAACAAAAGAATTTGAAAATTTTGAAAATTTTATTTACGTCCTCTCTCCACACCGCTTCCGTCTTCACCAATTAGGAAAGAGAGAAGACATAAGGGAGCGTTGTGGTCTCACTCGCATCGAGAAATTAACAACACATCGCCGGAAATGACGAAGCGGAATCTCCGATCGAAGGTCTTAACCGTGGGAGAAGACGCTGAGCAACTCTACCAGAAGAGGATCCGAGATCTGGAGTCAGTGAATGAAGCTCTCAAGGTTTCTTTTCCCTCTTCCCATTTTTTTTTTTAAAATTATTCTCGGATTTTAAAATAAGGGATTTGTATACTGGCTGTATAGTAAAACGATTTTTTTTCTTGATTTTGTAATTTTGAAAAATTTCTGCTCGAATCCTATTCTCGGTTTTCCCTCTACCCATATTTTTTTTTTTTTTTTGAATTTTTTTGGCTGGTTTGCTACATCGATTTTTAGTTTTGATTTCGTACTCTCTGAAAAATTGTTTGCTTCAAAGAGTATTCCGAGCTCATGGAAAATTTCGTTCTATTCATGTCTGATAGATAATCCCCGTCGATTCAGTTTCTCAGCATGCACAAAATTTTCTTATAGAAGTATGAAACTGCAATACCGTTCATTGTTTTCCTTCTTAAAAGCTGTTCAGTTCTTTGTGATAATGGAATTAGATTACCTGTTGATATTCCTGGAATCATTTGAGCTATGATTTTGGCTAGTCCTACGTTTTATATATCTCTATGTATTATTTAGTTCCTAGGAAATATTTCTATTCGATTAGAAATTTCGGAAACTTATTTTGTATTTTGTCATCTTGAAATGACCATGTTGAAATTTGGCAGTGCGAAGTGGAAGAGCTAAGTTCCAAATTGGCTGATGTTTCGATTAGTTCTTCTACTGGTACCTTACAGTCAAGCAGAAAGTTTTCTCACAAGTCTAGTGCTACAAAAGTGGAGGTGAATCAGTTTTTGAGGTTTTCAGATTCAAAGACATATATGCTATACCATGCTTATTTTCATAAACGTAATACTTGTATAGATTATAAGCTCAAGGACTAAGTCAAATTTGCGCTCTATGTGCTCAACAAAGAAGCATAAATCCGAGAGCTCTGTAAAACAGTTCGATGGTGAAGTCCAGAAACTTAAGGCGCAAAAGGTGAGCATCTTCTTGCAAACATTGTAGAATTGCAGCAGTTTTCGTTGGGTGTTTTACGTATGTGAGTTGTGACTACTCTTCAGGTTAAGTTGCAGTGCAAGATCAAGCTAGACTCTATGCAATTCAGACTATCGAAAGCTTCACTAGAAAAGGAAACTCTTCAGGTACGCCAAGATCAGTTTGGATACATCCTTTCTTGATGGGCTTGATCGTCAATTTGCTAGCCCTGTCTAGTGATTTTAGCCTTCTTATGAAACTTCAGGTTCTTAATTAAATAATTGTTCTCTTCTACAGCTTAAAAAAGAGCTAAGGAGGAGCGAGTTCGAAAAACAGGTCCTGTCAGCTTTGAACAGGCGCCAGAAACAGGTATTCATTCTGCTGATTGTTCAATGTTTATATGTAGTTTCCGGCGACCCTTTTTTACTGAGTCCATGCGGCTTGTTGATTTCTGTATTTTGTTAAATCAGATTTTGCAGCTGAAGAATGCACAAGCTTTGACAGCCCTGAAACGCCTTAGATTGCTGCTGCAATCTAAAAAGATATCTTCGAACAAAAATAAAGGTCACATAACAGCTAGCTAGTATCCGTTACCTTTTTTCTTCTTGCTACTTTTTTTTCCCTAAAGTTGAAGTGACTTCTTTGTATTTTCCAGGCCCACCAAAAGGAACAAGCTCTAAGATTGAGGTATGTGGTACCTGAACCCAAGCATCAACAAAAATTTAAGCAATTCGTTAATATTACATAGGTCTTTAACTGCACTATTGATTAGAAACTTTAGTATATTTACCTTACATTTCCGGATGGAAGATATAGGTTCCTGATATTCCTTGTTACATGTGGCTTGGTATTGATTTCTATAAGTTGGAACTGCAAACAGTTTTTGATTATGGTGGTGCAGGATTCTAGCAATGAAGTTGGGCTACTAATGAAGTTGAATAAGATTCATTCTGATTACGAACGCCAAATGAAAGAGTAAGCTCTCAAATGTTTCTTGTTGCTATTGCAACTCCCTAAACTTATTTCCAAGCTATCATGCCTCCCTAAAATTTCTGATTACTTCACTACACTGAAATTATGTGTTCCGTACTATTTTTTATCAGAATAGCTGTTGAGGTAAAAAGATTCAGCCTAGAGGCGAATGTGTTGAAGGCAGAATTTGAGGGAGAGCAAAACTCATTGTAAGTTTGATAGTTAGCTAAAGTTTTTGTTGTAGCCTCAATTTTATTCTCTAAAGGTGATCATCTTTGCTTCTCCAATTTAGCTCTGCGTCACTTGACAGCGGAATCAACCAGACCCCGATTGACTCGGAACTAAAGGAACTTAAAGAGGAGTTTAGCAAACTGAGTACTCTAGTCAGCCAGATGGAGATGGCCAAATGTCAACTCAGTGAAACAGATAAAGTTCAGGTTATAAATTTGGAGATGAACGTTTAAATTTATCATTAAATAACTAGTCTTTTGTGGTCTGACTTTTTAATTCTAACTGTTCATCAGAGCGAACCAGCTGAATACTCTGTTCCCAGCAAGGATTCCTACGATGAATCAAACTTGGAGCTCTCTCAACCAAAAACTTCTGAGGAAACGATCTACAATACCAATGATCAATCAAATTTGGAGCCATCTCAACTGGAAACTTCTGAGGAAACGCTATGCAAAACCAATGATCAATCAAATTTAAAGGCATCTCAACCGGAAACTTCTGAGGAATCGCTTTGCAAAAGAGAGGAGAACAAAGTGGACGTGTGTTGCTCTTGCACTAAAAAATCTCTTTGCAAGACCAAAAATTGCAAATGCAGAGCAAATGGAAGTGGGTGCGGTATCTCTTGTGGCTGCATAGCTTCCAAATGTAGCAACAGAGAAGAAAACGTAAGATCCGATAAAGCAATGCAACCAGTAGATGGTAAGAAGCCTGTTGGGATTAGTCGTGATGACAAGGAAGCAAACAAACAACCGTTACGTGATATAGGGAATATACAAGTAAGCTGAATCTTCTTCTGCAACCTCTAATTAGGCCAACCATCTTACATATCCGGTTATAACTTTTAACTTTGGATTCTACAGGAAGCTGTAAAAGTTGGTAAGTTGAGAAAAATACAGAAACAAGTTGCTAAGAAGTAATGGAAAAAAATGACATGATATAAAAGTAAACAGACAACCCAAGAAGCTTCAAGACCTTGTTTTAAGTTTTTCTTTTTTCTCTCCTTTTTTTTTGTTACAAATCCTTTTCTTCCATTTTGTCTTAATGTTGTAAAAGCAAAGGTAACAGACTTTGGCTATGCATATGTTGATTTCGAGAGGTTAGTAATAATAGGGATGTTTTATGGGTAGACAATGTAGTCCCCAAGATTTACCTTGAACATATGGAAGTCATGAATCGTTCGTCAATTCAAATTTTCGGCCGAGACAGATTTGCGGGTGATCCAAGAAATTTCTTACTCTATCAGCCGATGTCTTAAACATACATGAAAAATATCATCGACTGAGCTTAAGGAGTTACCCAACGCCTAAGGTAGGGTTTTGTTTGGATAAACTTACTGAAAAAACTTGAAAATAACGGAAATGGAGTTGTCTTCAAAGATGTATGACAGGATGTGTTATACCAAAAGTATGTACATACATTTTCAAGCACCTTTTTCAACACGCCCATCGGTGAAGGTGAAATGTAATGCAATGCTGTTTTTTAGCGTGTTAATGGCAGGTCGAGAAACCTCTCTCCGAAAAGAACTCAAAATTTTCGATCTTTGTTAGAAACAATTGTCTTTGGAAATCCATCAAGATGCACCACTTTTGTATAAGAATGAATCCACCAACCTAATAAGCACAAGATTATCAGGAGATTAAGGCCGAAATGGTTGATGGAAGATGATTGTGATGACTTTACTTGTATTAATTGCGTATACACCGAATGATGTATATAGGACACAAACTAGATTTAGTTTATCAAGAAAGATGATCCTCACAAATGATCTAGTCTCACACATGAAAACAAGAGAGAATGAATCCACAATCCACAATCTAACTAAAACTCGCCAACAAATCAAAAGCACTAGGTGTTTTGAAGCAAAATACTTAGGTTCTCTTTTTATTATCAAACATGTGTGAATCAAAAGTACACGAGAAGAGGTATCCTTAATTATATGTAGAGGACGGAGATGATCTTGAGAGGATGGATGGTCGAAATCATTCTTCCAAAAGTTGACAATAGGATGAATTAAGCGATTGATGCCTGCATTACACCACTTTTTGATCGACCTTGCTAATAATGTGTTATAAAAATATTTCATATATAATGGGAACACAATAATCAAGAAAAAAACTATGTTATAACAAGAATATCGAAAAGGGAAACAGAGAATGTGTAGTTCTGATAAGCCTTTCAGAGTATATGTTCGACGCGAGAAGAAGGTGGAGGAAGAAGAGAAGAGCTGAAGTGGCTAAGAGGACACGTGGAGGAAGTTGAGAGGAAGAATAGTGTGAACACGTAGAGTAGAGTGTGAACACATATACTATAAATAAAGAGTCATGTTGACTATAGGGGGTATGTTGAATTGTGTTTAGAGTGGCGATATGAGCTACAGGAATTCTGTTATGGTCGTTATGAGATCTAACGGATTCTGATACAGGAGAAGAGATATCTTGTATTCTATTCACAATCGATATACGAAGCATTTACAGAGAGATTCATAGTAGATTCTATCAAAATGGTGCGTAGTGACAAGATCGAAGTATCGCAGAGAGGAAACACCGATAGTGAAATGGGAAGCGAAGACGATGAGGGAGGAATTTCGTCGGTGAAAGAAGAATTGAAATATCTGCAAGGAGGATTTCAGCGATTGTGCAAAACATCAACGGAAACGGAAACGCGAATAACGGAGCTCGATTCGAAGCTCGAGTCAATATTATCAGCGATTCAACAGCAATCGCGACTTCCGGCGAGATCTGACGGCGGTGCACAACCGATTGAGATACCGGAAACATCTCAAACCGCAAATCAGGTACACAACCCTAATCTGGGAACTTACCGGAATGATTACCCGCTAGGTTATCGGCCAGGTCATTCTGATCTCGCGAATAGAGAAAGTATGCTCAAGAAGATCGAAATGCCGATTTTCGACGGAACATCACCGTATATGTGGATCGCAGACGTTGAACAGTTTTTTCAGCTTGGTAGATATGATGATGATGCGAAATTAGATCTGGTCGCATTGACACTGACTGGGAAAGTTAAGAAGTGGTATATTTGGGTGAGAAAACGTCAAGGATTTCGCAGTTGGAGGGATTTTCTGGACAAAATGTTGCTCAGATTTGCAGATAAATTGGAAGATGAACCAGGCAAGAGACTGTACTCGATCAGGCAAACGGGTTCAATCAGTGACTACGTAACAGAGTTTGAAGATCTGTCAGCTCAAGTACCAGGCGTTGATGACAAAGGATTAGAAGATATTTTTTACAATGGTTTGACTCAAGAAATGAAAGAAGTCATAAAGATGAAGGAACCAAAAGGATTGGCAAATCACATAGCTGCAGTGCTGAAAATGGAAAGCAGTATGTTTTGTAAAGTGGTAGGAGAAGTGAACAGAAAGGATACAGGACAGACGATAACAACAGGATACCAACAACGACAGTACAATTCCTTCATCAACAATAAACAAGGGATACAACCGTTCAAACCTAAAGTGCTACAGATTGAGAAAAATGAGAATAAAGACCAACAACCAACAGAGAGACAACAGCTAAGACCAAGACAGAAATTCACTGATGCTGAGCTAGATTTGAAAAGAAGTAAAGGTCTATGCTTCAAATGCGATGCCAAATGGTTCTGAGGTCATGAGAATATCTGTCCAAAAAGAGAACTTCGAGTATTAACAGTTCTGAATGGTTTTGAAGTGGAGGTTCTAGACGACAGTATGTTTGAGTTGAGTGACGACGAGATGCAAAAAGGGGAACTAAGGCACTTATCATTGAATGCTTTTTTAGGGATCAAATCACCAAAAACAACAAAGATCCACGGCACAATTGGGAACACTAAAGTAATCATCATGTTGGACAGTGGAGCATCTCATAACTTCATTGCACCTTCAACTGTATCTCAAGCCAAGTTACAAGTGACAGAGAATGCTTCACTAGACGTTTTGTTGGGAAATGGACTTCAGGTCAGAGGTTTGGGGACATGTAACAAGGTGTGATTCACATTATCACGTTTTGAATTCACAGCAGACTTCATAGCTCTTGAACTGGGTAATGTGGACATGATTCTGGGCGTACAATGGCTTGAGACACTCGGGAAATGTCTGGTAGACTGGAAAAAACAGGAATTTTCATTCCAATATGGGGATCAGTGGATCACACTGTATGGAGACACCAATTTACACCATCAACGAGTGTCCCTCAAATCGTTTACCAATCCAGCGATAATCAAATCGAAAGGAGTATTACTGGAGTTCAAAGGAACACGAGTGGAAGACAAGAAAGAATTGGAAATGCACCCTGCTATAGCAGACCTGTTAGAAGAATTTGAGCATGTTTTTGCAATCCCTACGGGATTACCACCTATACGGGTCGAGAGCATAGCATCACATTGGTAAATGGAGCAGGACCAATCAATGTGAGACCGTATAGGTATCCGCATATGCATAAGGAAGTCATGGAGAAAATGGTAAGGGAGATGCTAGAGGCCGGGACCATAAGACAAAGTGTGAGTCCGTACTCTAGCCCTGTCCTTTTAGTCAAGAAGAAGGACGCAAGTTGGCGCTTCTGTATTGACTATAGGGCATTAAACCGAGCCACTATCCCTGACAAATTTCCTATTCCAATGATCGATGAACTCTTGGATGAATTGCATGGAGCGGTAGTCTTCTCGAAATTGGACTTGAGATCAGGTTACCATCAGATAAGAAAGAAGGAAACTGATATAGAGAAGACAGCGTTTAGAACGCATGATGGTCACTATGAGTTCGTTGTAATGCCTTTCGGCTTGACGAATGCACCAGCGACATTCCAATCACTGATGAATGATCTATTTCGACTGTTTCTTCGGAAGTTCGTACTAGTGTTCTTTGACGACATACTCGTATACAGTCGAAACATAGAGGACCATAGAGACCATCTGAGAGTTGTTTTGAAAGTTTTTGCAGATCATCAACTCTTTGCAAATAAAAAGAAATGCTTATTTGCGAAACAGTCTGTAGATTACTTGGGACATATCATTTCTGCAGAAGGAGTATCTACAGACCCAAGTAAAACGTCAGCAATGAACAGTTGGCCAACACCGAGGACAGTGAAAGAACTGAGAGGGTTTCTTGGATTAACCGGCTACTACAGGCGATTTGTGAGAAATTATGGACAGTTGGTTAAACCCTTAACAGAACTACTGAAGAAAGACAATTTTATATGGTCACAAACAGCTCAGTTGGCATTTGATACGCTTAAAACAACTCCTTTCACAGTTGTATACGGACGAGAACCACCTGCAGTGATCAGATTTGAGGAAGAGGGTCAACAACAAACTTTGAACTGGAATCAAGGCTGAGGGAACGTGATATGATGTTGGAACAGATAAAGGAAAACTTGAGAAGAGCTCAGAGTTTGATGAAAGCACAGGCTGATAAGCACCGTCGCCAACAGGAATTCGACGTAGGGACGAAGATATATCTTAAACTAAGACCGTATAGGCAATCGTCAGTTGCAAGAAGACTTTGCCAAAAATTAGCAGCTCGCTACTACGGGCCTTTTGAGGTTTTGGAAAGAATTGGCAAAGCCGCGTATAGGTTGCAACTTCCAGAAGGGTCGAGAATACATCCAGTGTTCCATGTGTCTCAACTTAAAGAAGCATTGGGAAACGATCAGCAAGTAACAACGTTACCTTTGGCTTTATCTTTAAGTGAGGAACCGATGATTCAACCATCAGCTGTGTTAGATACTCGCTACAATACGGAAGGTGAATTGGAGGTGTTAGTATCATGGGATAACTTGCCAGCACACGAATCCTCTTGGATATTAGCTCGTGAAATTCAGGCTCAATTTCCAGATTTTGAGCTTGAGGGCAAGCTCCAAGTCGAAGGGGGGGGGGGGGGGGTATTGATAAGCCTTTCAGAGTATATGTTCGACGCGAGAAGAAGGTGGAGGAAGAAGAGAAGAGCTGAAGTGGCTAAGAGGACACGTGGAGGAAGTTGAGAGGAAGAATAGTGTGAACACGTAGAGTAGAGTGTGAACACATATAGTATAAATAAAGAGTCATGTTGACTATAGGGAGTATGTTGAATTGTGTTTAGAGTGGCGATATGAGCTACAGGAATTCTGTTATGGTCGTTATGAGATCTAACGGATTCTGATACAGGAGAAGAGAGATCTTGTATTCTATTCACAATCGATATACGAAGCATTTACAGAGAGATTCATAGTAGATTCTATCAAGTTCATCTTATTAATTAATATGAAACTCTTTGATCTTGTGTTCATTCTTGTGTATATACAAGAGGGAAATCTGTCTATTTATAGACATTCAAACTATGTTTGTAAAAAAAAAAAAGCTTCATTTTATGCAATAAGCCTAAGATTAAGTCTTCTTAACCAGATAGAGTGAAGCATCATATGCATCACATCGTAGGGCTGAGCTGGACGATTCAACACGAAATGCCGCTTCACTTCTAAGACTCGCTTATACATCTTCAAGTATCTTACAAGAGAGACAGTCTCTAGAATCGTTTTGATCTCACTTATCCTAGAAACAGGGATTTGTATGGAGAAGGAGTCCCAATTAAGCACATCACTAAATGGTAATGAATAATTATCTGATATGATCACGGGTACACAACCAGCGTATATGGCCTCAACTTCCCTTGGGCTAGCGACCTCCCAACCACTCGGGCATAGACAAAACTTGCTCATTCCCATTAATTTTGTATAATCTTTTCCTGGGGGAAGACGTTCATAAACTTGTACTTCACTGTCCTTTTCTTTCCAGTGTTTAAATAAGATTTTCCGGATCTCGCCGTGTGTTCTTCCAGCAAAAAACGCTAGTATAGATCGAACTCTCGGTGATTTCCCAAGAAAAGATGGACCCAATTTACCTTTTGGAAGGTAGATCTCTGGAATGGATACGTCTATGCTCGGCCTGAATCCTTCCGAGGTGTTAGCATTGCAAAGTCCCCTTATGAATTTTTCGAACAACTTTGGATTCCCATCGATCACGTCTGGTGCCTATATATATGAATATAAATTAAAATTACACAATACGCATGTTATCATATATCATTTAAAAATAGAATCAAACAATTACATGATGATTAGCAATTATAATTTGAAAATAATGAATTTCAGGAAGATTTCAATACCTAAAGTATTTATATAACTAAGTGTTAAATCTCTAATGTGTACTCTCTTTTTTTTGTTATGTTCCTACATTAGTTTTTTAAAATTACTATATTGCAGTTGATATATCTTTTAAATTATATGATAAATAATACACTCGTATACATACTATAATAATATTAAGGTTCGTATGCTACACTATTTATTTATCTTTAGCGATTTGCAATATCTAACATATTTAGGAAGTCCTTTTTTGAATTCAACCGAAACTGGTTTGTTAACAAAATTTTAAGATATTGGTAGAAGATGTCTAATATTTATACTCTCCGATCCAAGATCAAATAAGAAAAAATTACGTACCCAGTCATGGCATGATACCATGAAATGGTCGCCTCCCTGGCTTTTGTTCCAGTAAGGATACTTAGTAGCAACTACATCAACGTAATCCTCTATAAGGCGGTGTAGGCGGGCACGAGAAAATCCTTCGACAGAGTTGATGGGCTTGTAGACGAAGTGGATGACCTTGGCGACGCTAAATGGGAGGAAGAAGACGTGAGCATTATCAGGGTGATCTGCCCGAAAACGGCTTCTTTTTGGGCCCTCCAAACACATTTCGTCCATGAATTGTCCTTCTATACCATAAATGTCATTAACAGGGCCATCATGGAACAATGGGGGCTCTCCCTCTGTGTATGTCCACACCTTAAAACGATTCATCATTTCTGCATGGCTCCTGATTTTCGTGCATTTAAGAGTATGAGAGCAAAGTTTATACAGTAAAACCTCTATAAATTAATAATGTTAGGACCATGATATTTTATTAATTTATCGTGATATTAATTTATCTATAAATTAATAATTATTAATTTATAGAGAAAATTTGTTTTCCACATATAATTTTTTACAAATTTATTTGGAATAATATTATAATTTAAAATTTTAACAAATTTCATAATTTAAATTATGATTAAAAATTATAATTATCACAATAAAATAGTTTTTCACCATATTGGATTGTCCATATAAAAAATATACATGTTTATAAGTTTAAAATTTATCAAAAACATATGGCTACTATCAGTATTATTGATGATAAAATTGAAGATAACACTACAATACATTTAAAATATTTACATGTAAGAAAATCAATTATGACATCAAAAAATCATTATAAATTTTGATTGTATATAGTAAAACAGCAATAAGAGCTACTGATATGATAATTAGAGAGATGAGAACCAATGAGATTTCAACTTTAACTAAAAAAGAATATGTTAGTCATATTTTAAAATAGTAAATTTACATATATTTGCATAAATTTATATAATTATTAATTTATGTTTTTATTGGGACCATATATTTATATAAAGATTTCAAAAAAATTATTATCTTATTATCTTATCGAAATTGATGTATTTTTACATTGGCCCGACTTGGAACCAGCAAAATTTATTAATTTATAGTGATTATTAATTTATTGAGTATTAATTTATAGAGGTTTTACTGTATATTCAAGTACAAATGTAACGTTCGCATTAATGGTTATCGGTTTTTTTTTTTAATTATTGGCCTCTATCATTTATAGACATGATGCACACGACTTAAAAACCGTATCCTGTTTGCACAATCATGTTAGCTTTATATTGAAGAGTGTAAGAGAACTTTCCCTTGTGAAGAAATTAACTAGCTTTGCTGTTTGCATCAGAGCTAATTGAATTAGTGCACAAACTTATATATCCTGAAGTTATAATATGTTAATTTAGATAGATGATTAGTCATTTGAAAACTCGTTTTACAGAAACAGTTAATATATAGTTTTGAAGAGTTTGTAACATATACAGGTAACTTCCGATTTTTGGTTTCTGAATCTCGATGTTGATTTAAACAGTTTTTTTGTTTAGAGATTATGCACCGAGGACCGTAGATCTCTTCATGCCGGAAATTTGTCTAGTGCAACTTAAACTCTCGACCTTTGGGTCTAAAGATCCCTTGGACAACCAATTATATTGCGCAGGTCAGTCCTTGGTTAAAGCTCATGAAATATAAACTTTAGGTGTTAAAGTTTACATAAAATTTTGAGAGCATCCTTTATGTAAAAGAATCTTGTAATTGCAGTGGTATGTTTCTTGATATTAAACAGCTTTTGAGATTATGAGAAAGAAAGATACGTCAACACATAATAACTCTTTAAAAAAGAATCTTATATTTTGCATTATTGATTTTGATGAGAAGATGATTTGTCTTATACATATGTGTACACCTTTTTATTCTTTTTTTATGCTTTACATAGTTAATTTTGTTAGTATTGTTAAGTTAACCTGGCACCAACTAATTAAGCATTTTTTTTCTTTTCTTTCTCTTTATAACTCTTTTCAAAATATATATAGGCGATTATTGCCACCGGAATAATTTACAATGAAAACATTTAACAAGTAATTAATAATTAAGTAACCGAGTGCAAGTGGCTCCCATTTATGATGTGCTTCTCGGGCATAAGGGGTTAAAACTTAAAAGTGTTAGGGCTTGAGCCAATATATATAAAGTAAAGTTATAATATGAAACTTTTCATTCTTCAGAAAGAGTAAAATAATACTCCATTTCCACACACAAAAAGAGTAAAATAATACATCATTAAAACCTTTTCCATAATAATTTTTTAACGAATGAGCTCATGATCAAAAGTCATTAGGATGATCCTTTAAAATATAAAAGTAGTTGAATAAAAATATAGAGATAATTAGAAATTTAGGACAATTTCCCAAACCATTTGTCCTTTTAGAATTTATTATCTTAGATATTGTCCCTCTAATATTTACTTTTATTAAAATCTAAAATTATCCTTAAAATTTCATTCTAGTATTTTTTAAAAAATATTTTGATATTCACCTTAAATATAAAAAAATTAAAAAATAAATAAAAAACCAACAAAAGATAAAAAAAAAATTCTCGTCTCCACAACAACAAAAAAAACAGCAAAAAATATTCCAACTACTTTGTTTTATGAAGACACATGTCACACATCAGAAGTTTGGCTATCTTTGTAGGAGTTTCCACCGATAGATCAATCTCAAATTTAGACACCAAATATATAAATGGACTGGTTTGAGGTAATTCTAACGGTGCGATAAAAAATTATGCCAATTTTTGTGAAAACAATCCAATTTAGCGAGCAAATGAAGCAAGTGCAGAAAAAGCAAAAAAAAAAAGAAGAAGACAAGAGGTCTCGAACTCGGAGGTTTGAGTTAATAGAAAGCGATAAAAATCTATTGTTGCTCAGCACATTATTCGAATTTATTATAACGGTTTTAATACTTAATCTCAACATTAGAAAAATATTAAAAAAAAATTCAAAAAAAAGGAAAGTGAATTATTTGAAAATATTCAGTTGGATGGATAAGCATACGAATCCTAGATTTTCCAGATTCTGTAATGATTTACTAGAATACATATTCTATATTACATAGAACAAAGAATGATTGCTTCTTTTTTTTTTTTTTAGAACAAAGAATGATTGCTAGAATTCACATTCGGTTAAAATGTAGAATGTAGTAAAAAATATAGAACATGTATTCTAGTAGTTGTAGAACTCTAAAGAGTTTGTAGAATACATATTCTATACGACTAACAGAATGAAGAAGAACATGTAGAACATCTATTCTAGGTTTCGTAGATTGTAGAAGAATATGTAAAAAACATATTCTAAAAATTGTAGAATGTAGAATACGTCTTCTACATGTTGTGGAAATAATTTTTAAAAATTTAAAACTTTCCATAATTGAATTTCGGTAATTAATTTATTTCTATTTTTAGTATTTTCGATTTTTTTTTAAAAAAGCGAAACATTAAATTCAAATTTCTTAAATTAATTTCAACATTAATTAAAGGGTATTTAAGTCTAAAAGTGACAAAAGTCCAAAAAGTGACAATATGCAAAATGTGTCCTAAATTTATAATTCTCCCTTGAATATATGTAATATAAAATCCTTATAACATTCAATAGTAAAATTCCAAAAAAAAAAAAGAATAGAGGCTTTTGCTTATTGAGAGGCATCTCACCGGAGCCGTTAAGTGTAAGTTGCGTAATTGTGTTTGTCTTTATTGTAATCGTAATTTAATGCTAGGTTATCTGATGATGATTAAATCGATGTAAAATGGTTGGAAAAAGAAAAATCCACGTGAAATATGTCAGCGCTTTCTTTGACTATTCTAAGAAACAAGAAGTACTGTACTAGTAATTTAGTAAATTACCAAACTAAGAAAATAATTAAAAGTAACTCAACTGATGAAAGGCGGCTGGATTTTTGTAGAGAGAGCTGCGATAATTTTGTGTCAAAGCTGCCTTCTTAATTGCTGCTCTTGATTTTGCCAGCTCTGCTTCTATTTTATCCAACCCACTTCTTTTCTAATCATAACGAGAACAAGGAAAATAAAAGTAAAAAGTCGAAGATTAGAAAAATCAAGGGTGTTAAAAAAAATAATAATAATAAAGGGTAACGTAAAGATTCTCTGTTTTTTGTTTTTCAATTTCTCTTTGGATCAACCACCAAATTAAATAAGAAAAAGCAATCGAGAAGGACCTAAGCCAGAGGAGAAGAGTTTACAAAATTAAAAAAGATTACATACCCTGATAACAATTCTTTTACTTGTAGGACTTGGAGACTTCTTTCGGTTACCTGGATCAGAGAAAGAAGAAGAGAAAGAGACTGAAGAAATAGTAGTGTTTGTTGTCTTGCTCTGTCCAAGAAGAGACATAGGAGAAGGAGAAAAGATTGAAGCAAGAGTATTGTTTGTTGAGTTGCTTTGTTCCACAAGAGACATAGGAGGAGAAGAAGAAGAGACTGAAGCATGAGTATTGTTTGTAGAGTTGCTTTGTTCGAGTGGCGACAGAGAAGGAGGAGTGAAAGAGACAGAGACAGAAAATTGGTTTCTGTAATCGATGAAAGGCTTATTAGAGGGCTTTGTATAGACAAAAAGTGAAAGAGAAATCAGAATAAGAGAGATTGAGAAAAGGGTTAACAGAGAAAGAGAGCATATTCTTGATCTTGGAGCAGCCATGGTTGATCTTGGACCGGACATGGATATGTTTCTCTCTCTCTCTCTTTCTCTTTTTCTTGGATTCCTTAGTCTCAAGAGGAAGACACAAGAGCAGCCATGAGATATGTTTTTTTTTTTTTTTTGATTCTTTACTCTCAAGAGGAAGACACAAGAGAATTTTGGAACTGAGGAGGAAGGAGAAAAGTCATAAAGATTCTGTGTTACGTCTCTATCATATATCATTAATCATTTAGTGGGAGAAATCAGTTTTGCTTCACCAAGCAACTTGTTTCGGTTTTTTCTTTGATATTTAGTCATTTTCTAAATTATAATCCTATAATTAATGCGTTCAATAGTCCTTTATTTAATTTTATTAAAATAAATATAGAGTTGAGTCATTTCCGTAAGTTTACATCAACTTAGTGCAATTTTTTTCTTTGATTTTTAGTTGATATATGGATTAAAATAGAAAAGAAATATGATAAATAAATAGAAAGAATATAGCCTTTCCGCACAGGCTTATAAGGACGATCAAAGTTAGTTTACATGGCAATAGGAATATTCCGATGTCAACACCCATGACATATGAGGGCTGGTGGTGCTTTATTGATGCCTTTTGGAAAGCAACAGATTTGTCATCATGGAATGGTATTATTTTCAGGACAGGGTTATGGATAAAATAATGGGAGCAAGAAATGTTAGACGGAGTATGTCACCTCTGTATGCAGAGATGAAATCCCTAATTTGGACCATGCTTTGCATGATAGAGAATCAGAAGACAGAGGTTGCTTTTGTAACAAACTGTTCGGATTTGGTGCAGATGGTGTCTGAACCCGCCAAATGGCCAACTTTTGCTATACATTTGAAGGAATTCGTGAAGATCAAGGAGAAGTTTAGCTTCTTTTCACTATCACACATTCCACGCGTGAAAAATATGAAGGCAGATAACCTAGCAAGAAGTGCTCGGATTTATCCTCGTGATATTAATTATGTAAACTCGGTACCACCAGTTTGGTCTGTCAAACCGTTTTAGATATTTAGGCTGTTGACAAAAAATAGGTTAGTTTACATGGATAACTGTGATACATGCAAAAAAAGGCCAAATTATCATCAAAAGGTTAGTTTACATGGATATTAGCAGTTTGTCTTCAAAGTATTGTTCGAAATCATTTTCAGACAAATGGTTTTAGACCATATTTCGGTGAAAATTCAGTTGTCGGAATGACCGGATATTAGAATCATTGGATTCTTTGTTATGAGGATTATGAGATAGTGTATTCATATATCAAAAACAGAGTTGCTTTGAATGAGAAACGGTTATTCAAAGTGTGTGACTTTAAAAGTTTATGAACTTCAAAATTTGGCCAAATGTAAGAATTAGCAAAAGTCTCATATTGGACACTTGAGGTAAAATCATCTTTAATACTCCTTGTGTTCAGAATTATTTGAATGTTTAAGAGATTTTTTTATTCAGAATTATTTGATGTTCTCATTTTTTAATATAAAATTTAATAAACTTTTATTGTTTTTGACCTTTGATATTCTGCAGATTGTTTTCTTATTGGCTGAATTATATTTAAATGAATTATAAATAATGTTTTTAGTATAGAAAAAATAAAATTAAATGAATTATTATTCTATGTGCAAAAACCTTAAACATCAAATAATCTCCTTTATATAAAAGGGTTTACTTTCCTGGCTTTTAAGGCTGTCCACGTCAGCAAAAAAATAGGGAAAATAATCATCCAATAAAATCATTAAAACTTGCCACATCATTAGAATAAATTCTCAACTTCGAAATAGAACTCATCACCAAAACCATAATTATGATCCAACAGAGGTATTGCAACCCAGAAAGTAGAAAACACATCAGTCCATTAAATTTAGGCCCAAATCCAGCCCAACTAAAAATCTCCACCCCTTCGATCATCTTTATCGTTGCCGTTAAATTCGCAGAAAATACCAAAAATATGAATAGACAACTTCATCTAATTTACTCGCCTCCTTTTCTCCAATGAGGCCCTCTAACGATTCATCTCCCTCCCATCTGCAATACATTGGAAACAAAACATCAAGTTCAAACGACAAGCTTTTACTTCTACAAAGACGCTCTCTCTTCCAACTTTTTTTTTTTATTTGATTTCACATCTCACTTCCTACTTTTGGTTATCAAAGACTTTTCATTACTTCAATCACATAAGCTCCTATGTTTCTTATTCTCATCTCATAATACCTCTCCAATTCCTAATTTTGCAGATAAAATCCACTCTGAAATCAATGATTTAATGAGTAGCTGCGGATTCAAAAGTTTTGAGGGTGGACTTTGTGATGATTTGTTGTTCAACAATTATCGATATAGAGTCGAAATGTCAGTTCATCTCCATTCTCCAATTGTCAAGGCGACAGGTCTGTGATAATATTTTTGCTATATTGAAAATGAAAGCGAAGGAAAATCAGCTTTATGATCGATTATTTTGGCTACATATTAGGATCAAGTCTGCATACTATCTCTTTACGTCAAATCATCTTTAATCTGTTGATTTCAGTTCATTTGGTAATTTACGTTTCTTTCTATTTCACTTAATGTTCATAGTTCATACGCTATCTTAATCTATGAATTAACTACGCCCATAGTGGAAAGTAAAAAAAAAACCCCCAAATCGACAGCGGAACTTATCTTGCAGATCGACGGCGGCACCACTTCCCCGGAATCTACAATAGTACTTCCCGCTTTCTCCTATCTCTCAATCTCCATTTCTGAACGTCTCTCCTTTTTAAATTTTTCCTATTTTTGAGTTTGATTGTAAAGTTCCAGTCGTAAGTGTTCTGTCTTTCCAAGTATAGTTAATCTATTTTTCTAGATATTGAGTGAATTCTCGACTTTTTGGTTTTGGGTTTCTGGGTTATTCGTTGTCAATAAGTCTCGGGTTTAGATTGTGAACCATCTGTTCTTAGTATTTTGGGGTTGGATTTTGCTTCCAATGTTGATTCTGAGATTAAATCGTAGTGTTTGCAAGGTACTAAACTGATTGCTAGAGGTAAATGCAGGAACACCAAAAAGACAACTTCAAAGTCCGATGATGTGTACTCAAGCTTACTATGAAAGCCAAATTTTCATCAACTATGTATGTCCTTTACCTTTTTTTCCCTTCCATCAAAAAGGTTTTTATTACGGTGAATCGTACTGAATATGAGATTTGTAATTTTGTTTAGAAATTTTGCAGCTTTAACGGTTGATGGTAAGGAGAACACAGAACAAGTCCAATGCAGTGCCAGTGATATTGAAGAGGCATTTCATGAGTAAAGTCAACAAAACTTTACTTTCTCTAGGGGCAAAGTTTCATTTTGTTGAATCATGTTCGGTCTTTTTACCTTTCATGTTGAAAGTAGTCCTTGAATCTCTTCACTTTCTTTAGAATCAGTTTTTCAATATGTGAAACTAAAGTGGTTACTATAGGAGTATAAGATTGCAGTAACCACTTTAGTTCAAAAAACATTGACGCGTCCGATGTCTGATTGGAGTTCTCTAATCTAGACCATATTTTGTCTATGTTATGAGTTTTGAATGTACTTTTTCATGTTTTGATACTATAGGAGATTAAGATTTGCTCTTCGTTGGAACTGTCACCGAGATTCCAACTATCAAAGTTATTGTCATGAGGTTCACAAAAAGCTGGTGGAGAGTGCTAAACCTTTCACTAGCTCGCCCCCAGAGCTCCGTTGGGCTAAAACATGGTATTTATCTAGACCAACCGCTCTTCTCCATTTCCAACTTGGTGTAATAAAATGGTGAAGATTAGTTTTACAAAATGTAGTTTCTATTAAATGGGGAAAAACCTTAAAATAACATTCTGTGAGCTTAAAAAAAGTGTATTTCACCCATTTTTTTACATTTGATTTTTCATGTAATAAGTTATTTTGATACCATTTTTTCTCATATAAAGGAGATATGTAAATTGTAATATAGGGTTTACCTTTATTAAAGTGATATTTCATAAATTAAGTGTTCAAATTAGTATGATTTTCTGAAATACTACTATATTCATTGTTAATTTGGCAACTTACTATATATTTTATTGTATTAATCTTTCAGAAAAAATAGTATTGATACATGATATTAATATGAATATTATGAACACTATAAAATTAAAATATATTATAACAACAAAAATCCCGCGCTACGCGCGGGGCAAATACTAGTTCTGAATAAAGGGAGTAAATAAAACTTGACCAACTCTCTCCAAGCAGTTGGAGATAGCGCCACATGTCAAAAAAATATAAAATCTTTCTCCACTTTCCTCTTTGGTAATACGTTTCCAAACGACATAAATTAAACTCATCGTATCATATTCTTCTTTTTTTTTTTTTTGGAAATCTATTTTCCTTTTATTAAAAACTTAGACGGTTACAAGCCATGACTACGGTCATGCAGTTTTTAGAAAGCAATTACAAAACATTTAAAAAAGTTTAGGGTACAAGAAATGAACCACATAAAATCGAATCTTCCGCTTCGATTAACTTTAATGCTAAGAGTAAAGAGAGCTTTAGCCACGACCACCGCGGTTCCCACGTCCTTCGGTTACCACGTCCACGACCAGTGGATTGCAAACTCATCTCTTTAGCTTTTGCTGATGGTTTAACAGGTCTTTCTCGAAGAATTCTTTTCTCCGAAGGTGTCATAAGATCCAAAGAATCAGAATCTTTGTCTGAATCTGATAGATCTTCTTCTCCTACAAGAGAAATCAATGATGCAAACTTGTTAGAACCAAAATCGGGCTCAACTATACTCACACTTTCCTTTCAAACTGTGGAGTGTACTTGAGCAATAGTAGAAGTGTTGACCAGGAGAGATCTAGCAGCCTCCAAAGCAAGAGACTCAATAGCTTCATTGTTACTTAAATTTGGAGGAGTTGTTGGAAGTTCAGAAGAGGTAATCTCATTCTCACTTGCGGTGGCTGTATCTAGAGGAATGGGGGCTTCCACAATATTCTTGTTTCTGGAGGCTGTAGCTGGTGGAATTGTAGGTCCACAGTATGGTACAAATCTGGAAGCACCGACAGCATCTGAGTTATCCATTAAAACGGTTTGTAAAGAAGAGTTGGCACCTCCAAGGGAATTACTTTCAACTTCTAGACAACGATTGACCTTGTGTCCAAGTTGACCACATCTACCACATTTAGAAGGCAGCCATGCATATTCTACATCAACCAAAGAGATGATACCGTTTTGATCATCAGCCGCTACTCTTGTTGGGAATGCTTTACTTAGCTCAACCTCAACCAAAATCTTGGCTTCTCCCATGTGAATGGGATCCAACTTAGGCTGGTGTGTTGCCATAGGAGCACCTAAACCCGAGGCTATATGGCTTATTCCCGGAATAGAGTATAAGATGTTTGGAATTTTCTTTAAAGTTACCCACACCGATATGGTTTTAATCTCAGGGATAGCTAATGATGCTTCTGGGGTCCAAGCAGCAACAAACATCAAACAATCATCAACATGCCATAATCCCCTTTGGAGAACCCAAGTCCTAGTCGCTTCATCAGGAATATGGAATAAGTAATTAGATTCTCCAAGCTTCCTAATGGTTATTCTACAACTTCTTCCCCATATCTTATTGAAAACAGCAAATATCAGACCACCAGAGGGAGGAGAGTATAAAACTGGCCCAATACATATTCTTTTTGGTTCTCTAATCCTTGCAACAAAACATGTTGAGGGATTGTTACCTTTGGAGTGCCGTCCTCAAGGAATTCCGGCTCAGTTGCACGGTAGAGATTCCTTGATGCTGGATTCATTTTTGCTGCCCATGGAAACCGGCTATCATCTTCCATTGCCACTGGTTTATGAACAATCAACGGTTCATGAACCTGCTTGTTACGACCGGTCTTTGAAACTGATAAAGAAGGCCACATTTCTGGATCTGCTCGAGAGGATGAGGTCTCTGAGAAATCTAGTTTTTTAGTCCACGCACCTTTGAGAGAAGGAGATGGCCTGGATCGATGGTGATCGAGGTCTTTATTACCAACATCCTTACCGAGATTAGCAGCAGCTGTGGATTCCAGAGCTAATTTAACCGGTTCAATCACTTGAGGCTCCTCTAAGATAGACTTTGCTGCAACTAAGACCTCTGGAGCAGAGACCTCGAGGAGCATGTTCGAAGGAGGAGCGGTGACTTTATTAACCAGAGGAGAAGTAGCAGCAAGAGATACAGCTGGATTCGAGAGAGGAGCTGATTCCCGAGGTGATTTTTCTTCAAGAGATTTTCCTGCAGATATGATAGGAGGAGAAGAGCGGGAGGCGTTGGTTGCTTTCCAGCGATTCAGATAGGGCCAACGAAGATCTGGAGAATCAGAATCCTTGCTGCCGGAGTTATCTCCGACACCATCATTACGAACAAGAGATTCATCCGAAGCTTTTGGTGAGATTGGAGGGACGGAGTTGAACATATACATGACGAGAAGGGTACAGTAGTGAAGAGAAAAGAGAAGCTCGCTGGTGAGGGCAAGTCCGGCGACGATTCCGCGACGGCGGCCTCGTCGAGAGAACGATGAAAATTTTTAGGGATTCGCCTTGAAAATCGCTTTTGGGGGCGCGTGGAGGTAGCGCGTGGTCTGTAGAATATTAGCCATCGTATCATATTCTTCTTACGTTTATTTGCTTTGAATTCCTGCAAACGCTCCTTCCATCTATTCTCTCAAAATCTGCACACTCGATTAAAGATTATTTATTTGTTTGTTTTTTGCCTTCTAAATTTATATAATTAATTATGTTTTGGAAGGATTGCTGTCGTAACCTAAATGTTAGGTAAAATTAGCAAAACAACCTAACATTCTCGAAATAACCAGAACAACATTGCTTTTTAAAAAACCTCATTTTACCCTTGAGACGCTTTGATGACAAAAAACGTATTTACGAAAATGCCATTACTTTTTTTTTTCCACGTCAGCAGTACAAATCACGCGTCGAGAATTAAGTCTACCAATCTACCATCCTTTATAATAGATTTAAATTTTCTGATAGATTTATGTAAAAATTGGTAGACATAATTTTTCGATGATAGATTTTTCCCGATGTTGGTAAACTTGTTAAATGTTGGTAAACTTATGTTGATAGACTTCTTTTAATCGTTTGGTAGAGTTAATTTTTTTGATAGACATATTTGATTGTTGATAGACTTGTTTGTCTTCAAAGTAGATTTATTTTCGTGTTGGTAGATTTAGTGAGTCTAAGTTGACTTTTCGAAGTTCTATTGACCAGAATTGGTAGACTTGTTACCTCTAATGATAGACTTGTTTATCCTGAAGATAGACTTATATGAGAAGATATTATATCTACTACAGTGTTATTTTTTTCGTTATGATAGTGTTGTTTTATTCATGGTAGACTTACTTAAAAATAGTAGACTTATTATGGAGAAGTAGACTTATTTTCAGTTAGGTAGACTTAAAATTCAATAAGAGGTTTTAGATGTGTGATAGATATATTTGAGTATGTAATAGATATATTTGATATCGATAGACATATTGGCCAAAAATAGATATATTTCACCCTTATAATAGACATATCCTTCTTTTGGGAACGTCGATGTTGGTAGACTTATTGAAATGTTGATAGACATATTGAAAATTGATAGAGATATATACTTTACAGAAGGGTAGACTTAATAATGTGAAATGACAACTTTGTCCAGCAGTTATTATCGAATTTGTTTGTCCCAATC